CTGCCAACGCTGTTCGGCAACCTGACCTCTGACTGCCGACCAGTGGCCGTAAAGTCAAGAAGGTACACGACACCAGACGCAAAGTTCATCGAGCTGGAAGTTCGGAGGATGCAAGAACAGGGGATCATCGAGCCAAGTCGGTCTCCATGGAGAGCTCAAGTCCTTGTTACTGCGAACGAGAACCACAAGAAACGCCTCGTCATCGATTATTCGCAAACCATCAACAGGTTCACCCAACTGGATGCCTATCCACTTCCTAACATCGAGAGGATGGTTGAGGAAGTAGCTCGCTACAAGGTCTTCAGCACACTGGACCTGAAAAGCGCATATCATCAAATCCCAATCCGGGAGGAAGAAAAGGAGTACACCGCGTTCGAAGCAGACGGAAAACTCTACCAGTTCACCAGGATCCCGTTCGGTGTGACAAACGGTGTGGCAGCGTTCCAGCGGGTGATGGACTGCATCGTGTCACAAGAAGGGCTCCGGGACACATTCGTGTACCTCGACAACATCACCGTGTGCGGGCGAGACCAAGCAGAGCACGACGAGAACCTGCGGAAGCTGTTGAAGGCAGCCAAGAAGTGCAATCTGACGTTCAACGAAGACAAGTGTGCCTACTCTGTCACATCTGTGGAGCTCCTCGGCTACGTCATCGGACATGGGACACTTCGCCCAGATCCCGAGCGTCTGAGACCCCTACAGGAGCTGCCGCCGCCTCATGACGCGGCATCTCTGCAACGGGTGCTGGGCATGTTCGCCCATTACTCTCACTGGATTCATGGATTCTCTGAGAAAATCCGCCCTCTGGTCCAGACTGACAGGTTTCCCCTTCAGAAAGGTGCACTAGACGCCTTCAGTCACCTGAAGCAGAGCATAGCTGACGCCACTATGTCAGCTATCAGTGACGACATACCTTTTGTCGTTGAGACCGATGCTTCGGACCACGCCATCGCTGCTACGCTGTCTCAAGATGGACGACCCGTAGCCTTCTTCTCTCGCACACTATCGAGCAGCGAGCGCAATCACTCAGCAGTTGAAAAAGAAGCATACGCCATCGTTGAAGCACTCCGAAAGTGGAAGCACTTCCTTCTGGGTCGACAATTCAAGCTTGTCACGGACCAGAGATCAGTTGCCTTCATGTTCGATGGGAGACAAGCTGGGAAGGTGAAAAACGAAAAGATCATGAGGTGGAGACTGGAGCTGTCCAGCTACTCATATGACATCGTCTACAGACCGGGGACAGAAAACGCGTCGGCGGATGCACTGTCTCGTTCGCCGATGGTATGCTCCGCCTCAGACAGTACAAAGCTCCTGGTGGAGCTGCACAGTGCGTTGTGCCACCCAGGTGTCACCAGGATGACTCACTTCGTGCGCACAAGAAACTTGCCATTCTCGGTGGAAGATGTCAAACAGGTGACGTCATCCTGTCCCGTTTGCGCAGAATGCAAGCCACAGTATGGGAAGCCTCCTCAGTCTCATCTGATCAAGGCTACGCAGCCTTTTGAACGTGCCAGCGTACATCCATTCCGACCGTGGATCCTCCTTTATGTCCTCTGAGCTCAAATCCTTCCTCGCGAGCAAGGGGATAGCCAGCAGCAGGTCGACCGCGTACAATCCAAGAGGAAACGGGCAAGTGGAACGCTACAACGGCATCGTGTGGAAGGCGGTGACGTTGGCCCTCCGATCGAGAGATCTGCCGCTGGAGAACTGGGAAGTGGTCCTGCCAGACGCTCTTCATTCAGTGAGGTCGCTACTTTCAACGGCAACCAACGAGACTCCTCATGAGCGCCTGTTTCGGTACCAGAGGCGCTCGACGACTGGCAACTCTGTGCCGACGTGGCTATCCAAGTCGGGCGAAATCGTCTTGATGAAAAGACATGTACGACAGAAGTATGACCCACTGGTCGACGAAGTGGAGCTTCTTGAAGCCAACCCGCAGTACGCTCACGTCCGGCTGCCGGACGGGAGGGAAACGACTGTCAACATCAGACATCTCGCCCCACGAGGAACCATTGGTTTGTCTGACTCCAGCGATGTCTCGGATCCGCGCGATGGACTGGACCGCGATCCCCTTCCAGTGCGGGTGGCCGAGCAGCGCGAGGAGCCGGCGGTCGGTGACGGCAATCGGAACACGTCGATCCAGATGCCGGAACCAGCTCCCGAGCCTTGTCCACCTATGGCTCAGACTGAGACTTCCAGGTACCATTCTCATCCCCATTCCGAATCACAGCCTGTGCCTCAACCTGCCTCTGAGTCTGCGCCGTTGCGTCGATCCACCCGAGCTTCGCGTAGGCCGGCTCATCTGGAACGGGACTATGTTTTGTAAATGTGCGATCTTACGCTCGAGCTGTCTTTGAGCATGCACTATCGCATTGCTTGCGGTCTCGATGTTCTCGGTGAGGCTGCGTTCCGAAACGGACCGGGGGAGAATGTCGTGTGATCGTGGTTGTTTCTGTGTTTGTGTTGGCCGTTACTTACCTGCTGTTTGCTTTGTGTTGCAGAGCATGATCTCTTGAGCATGACTACTACGCTGCTCTCGCTTGCTACTTTGCTAGTGCCTTTATGTTGAATAAAGCCTGGTTTGGAAAGGCCTTGCTACCAGCTGCATGTTTGATTGACTGGGATACTCAAGAAACGAGACACGTTACACTCACTCGACCGATACGCCCACTCACCTCACGAGTTACTGCAGTTCCCCTCCATCTGAGCAACCGGCTCATACATCGCTGCGACTAACGATTGTCAAAAACGATGATAATTTAGTTCTCTAAATCGATGCTCCTCACCGGCTAAGGATCATCGTATGGATTGCGGTTTTATCCAAGGCCAGAATGATAAATAGCGGTTTAGAAGCAGCTCTCAAGACTTCCCTTGTTGAAAAGAATAGCTTGCGTGAATCATTGCCTTCCTTAGCCTTTTAAGATCCATCGGCTTAAAAATGACTCAAAATCTAAGACGAACCATTCATTCGTAAATACAGGGTGTCCCATAAGTTCGTTCTCACCTAAATTTTACGTTTAGAGGCTTTCTTGCTTAAGGGCACGCTGAACTTGCTTCGTAACTGAGCTTATGTGTTTGCCATGGCTGGTAACAATATGCTCCACAGTAACTAATTTCTCTAGACAAAATAGTTTTTGCTAGAAAGTCCACTTCCTGCAGAGGTGGCTAACACCGCAACATAGAGGTCTCCGATACGGGTACGTCTCGGTATTTAGTCAGCACGTGACCATTCGTGACGATTGAGGGTGATTGAAGCCAACCAGTCTGAAGGTAATGTCTGTCGCTAACTGTAGGCACAGTCAGCAAGTGACGCCGATGATTTGTCGGGAGTCAATCACTGCAAGTTCATCCTATTTCCAGTCAGCGCTCAGGAGTGAGCCATGTGGCCAAAACTGTCTGTCGTCAAAGTGGCCATCAAAAAGGTCAAAACGTTTGAAAGTTGATAAGCTGACTTTTCAGGATGGATTATCGGCTGTCTAAGAATATTTTTCGGGGAACATATCTCAAGGTGACTCAAGTTTAAGACTTACCGGAGGACTCAAAACAGTCGAAAATGTCCTAAAATGGCCAAACATGTGTTTCGTTATGCCTGAGGCAAAAAAATTGGAGGGCCGATGACATCAATGTGGTCATCTAGACTACCTAGTCCATGTTCGAGATGAAACACTCGTCCAAACCCTAAAACGGCCCCATAAAGGCGAAAGAGAAGGCCTCCGTTTCGTCCCGCTTTGTTCCTATGCAAAAGGCCAGGGTCACGGTATTGTGGGGTTATAGGCGTCCAGACGCTGACCAGGATGCGGTTGGTACTCCAGAAACAGATTTGGGACGCAGAATGCTTCTCCAAGAAGATCTGGAAGGAATCTCAGCGTTCTAGCTTAACTCAAACCGCAAATATGAACATATTTTGGGAGGAGAAAATGACATCCGGAAGGTCGTAGGCCCATCTTCAAGCGAGACTCCGCATCGGTGAACAGGTCAAGGAAAGCTCAAAAGCAGTGCCAGGAGACTGTGACAGGCGTCTGTCGCAAGATCACATGTCAGGCAACTTATGGGATCCAAATTTCATGAAAATACGTTGGGGATACTGAAATCGTGGCTCGTCGAAGCGAAACGCTGTTCCAACCTCCAGGAGCTCACGGCGAATGATAAGTCAGTCTGGGCTAACTTCAAGCCTGCTACGCTGACAAATATGCCGGGTGGCATGCCACAGTGCATGTATTCATGTGTTTGCCCATCTGAGGAGCACATTGACGGGTCATAAATATTTCAAAACGCAATGTACTCTGTTTTACATGCAAATATAATGTGAGAACGAACTTATGGGACACCCTGTAAATTAACTCATCTTACCCATTCATTCCTAAATGAATCACATCGTCGTGAGAAATAAAACACAGCATAATATTCCACCTGGAACTTCTAAATCCGACCCATGGCATGCGTCCTCAAACCATTCCCCTGGCCGTCTACGATTCTCTCAGCTACACCATTTCCTTCAGACGTTATGCTGGCACACACCCCGGGCCTCGCCGGTGGCCGGTCGGGTTTTGACGCCCTCGGCCGGTCGGGTTTGGACGCCCTCGGCCGCGGTGCCAATTGCGCCATCAAGCCGCTCTAGTCGCGCGACAGACTGCGCGCACTATCATGGCCAGTGAAGGCGGTGACGGCTGTCACGGCCGTGACGGGCTGACGTCAGCGGTACCTGGCGCGTGCTGCGGAGGCCGGCCGTGACGCCGGCGGCGCTGATAGCGTGACGCTATCGTCGCGCCAGACAGAGCGCGCAGCGCCGCCGCGCCAGTCTGCGGCAGCGGCCAGTGGAGACAGCGCGAACTGCTGCTTCTCGCGGAGCGAGTGAACAGAGGAATGGCAGTGTGTGTTGAAGTGGGCATAGAGTGAATTATCCGCGCTAGAGAGGCCAAAGACGGAGGGGCGCTGCTGTGCGCCAGGGCTGTGTGCAGGAGGAGTTGACCTGAGGGAACCCCTGTGTTCTGGGTTGTGGACAGCGAAGGTCGACCTAAAGGGGCCATTTTGTGCTGAATCCGCGCAGTGCTGCTGCAGCAGCTGGTTCAGACATGGACCTGGTCAGCGACTGCGTCCTGCTGCGAGGCGTGTCTCCCATGATAGACGAGCAGCACCGTCTGACGGAGCGGCGGGCCACCTGGTACGTGCCCATGTACGAGATGTCCGGCGAGTCTCCGCCGCCGCCGGAGCCGCCGCCACGGGCCCGGGATACTGAGGACCTGGCCGTGGACCGTCCGGCCGCCACTCACCGGAGTCCGCTGCAGCGACTGGCCAGTTTCCGCAGCGAGGCGCGGGTGGCCGTGGTGCGGCGCGGCCGCTCGCTGGAGGACCTGGCCCGCCGCGTGCAGCGCCGCCTGCGGGCCCGCTCGCTGGTCCGCGACCTGACCTCGGAGCCGGCGCCCAGCGCTGGCGAGGTGTCGGAGCGGGGTCGCTACCGACCCCTGCCGGACGCCTCAGTGTTTGTTGACCCGGCCGAGGTGGTCACTCGTCTGCCGCTGGCCGCCGCCGGGCTACCGCTGCATATCGAGGGCCCTCCGCTGGGCGCCTCCCCGGTACCAGCGCCGCGAGCCAGTCTGCGTGGCAAGGCGAGCATCGCCAGCCAGAGCTCGTGTGACTCATCAGAGACGTGTGAGCCGCCGGAGATGTGCGTGCCTCCGGAGATGTGCGTGCCTCCGGAGATGTGTGTGCCGCCGGAGATGTGCGTGCCTCCGGAGGTTTGCGTGCCTCCGGAGGTGTGTGAGCCGCCGGAGATGTGCGTGCCGCCGGAGGTTTGCGAGCCGCCAGAGGTGGAGAGCGTGCGCAGCGCCGACAGTGGGGTGTACTCGGAGTCTGAGAGCTGCAACTCCCCTCCCCGTCCCCCACCGCGTCCCTCCAAACGGCGCCGCCGAAAACGCGAGCGCTACGAGGTGTGTCTTGGCTACCGGTGCTACCAACTCGAGGCCGATCACTGTACCATCACTGTCTACTCGTTGCAGAAAAACAAGACGGCGCTGAGGGAGCTGCTGCAGACGCCGGCGTCGACCACTTCGCTGGGCTCTGACAGAGGTGAGTTGGCACATCAATGGCTGCTGAAACCTGTCCCCGCGCTCCTGCCTTGTGAGTACACGCCGCCACAACTCTAACACATTATCATGAAAGTGATACTTGCACTCAGTGGTGTTAATAATGCTTCATGCCCTTCGCATGACATTGACATTGTCCAGGATGACTGTAGCGGTTACATCCGGGTTTAATGAGTATTTAATGTGAATGGCGAAATGGCAGCTACCGTGAAGTCAGGAGCCATATGCAAACAAAGGGCTATGTGACGTACGGGATTCATGAGGTGATATACGCCTTTATGCAAACATTGCTTGAGCTATGAATCCGGAAAGCAATACTTTCTGTGCAACTTCAACGAAACGAGTGTCTTATAGCCAGACATAAAACGGCCCTGGCTTACACTGTTGACAGCCACAGAGGCTGCAGAAGGCATCCCCTTTCGTGAGCCATTAATTAATGCGTTGGTGGTACGGAGCCTATCGGTGGTTCTGCCACGTCACAGCTGTAGAGGTAGCCTGCCAGATGCCTATCAGTGTTCTCAGCGGTCTGTATCACTTGTTTATTTGTCCGCTAGCCCCCAGTGCGATCAGTATCCCCAATACCCATGAGGTGTAAATCCTCATCCTGCATTTATATATCAGCTCAACAATCGCCCTATCAATTCCCCACCGTTCTACATCCGTGTTGATTTGTCTGATAACTCCCAGCCCTATCAGTGTGCCCACCACTGTATCTCTTTCCATTACTTATCTGATAACTATCACTCTTATCAGCGCGTCCTCACCAGTGTAACTATATCCCGTGTTTACTTACCCGTTAACCCAGTATCCCCACCGGGCGCATCTTCTGTCCTCCGACCGGCCCCCCAGACGGCTGGAGTATTCTCCCCACACCCGCTCACCCTCCCCGGGTGGATCCACCTGTTACCACCGCCACCGTCGTGTAATTATCCCGCGCGTATCCGCGGTGACTGTCACCTGGGCACCGGTGATTACGGCGCCAGAGAGGACGACGGGCGCGCGCTCGCGCTCGCTCGCGCCAATTGCCGGGCATGGTGCGCAGCCGGCCGGCTGGACGGCCTGTTGACGGTACCTACCGCGTGGCTGGGTAATGGGTATTGACCGAGAGACTACCGGGCGCCGCCCGGCCCGACGCACGGCACACGGACGGTAGAAGGGACGACGGGAGACGACAGTAGACGGGATGGCAGACGAGATGAAGGTAGACGGCAACACTGGCAGCCGGAGTCGCGGAACGCAGTCGAAACCATACAGGGCAGTGGGCACCCACTTCTGTGGCTATCGCTTCCACTTGGGTCCCTTTTCTCCTTTCGTGAAGGTAACATCATAAAGGCGATTGTTTATTATTGAGCTTATGTCCCCATAAATGTATCATCTCTTTGTTTGAAACTGTGGTGGGATGATGCAATCTTAGCACACTAACACATGGGGATTTTATATAGGGGAGAGTGGGGCACATTCGTGCATGGGGCACATTCGTTTTCAGCAGTTTATGGGAACACGAGTGACTGCACGAGCTCAAGGTAAATTATGGAAATATGTCTATCATTGCCGCCCTTCGTTCACCGTAGAAGACAACACTGTACCTGCTGTCATGCTTGATAAAAACGCAAATTTGTAACATTCGTGAGCTTTCCAAACTTTTCTCATGTCATCCATTTTCGTGATCCTGACTCGGAAATGTGGTTCAGCTTTTCAAAATTGGGGGTGAAGAAGCTCACTCTATTCACGGAACTGCTGCAAACTTGTTTGTTGAAAAAGTGTCATTTTTTCAAAAAGAAATTTTGAAATATATTACTAATGACGTTGTGGGGCAGGTTCGTGTACGCACTGCCTGGGGGCACATTCGTGCATATTTTTTTTTAGTTTTTGCGATTTATGACTTTATCTGTAGTAGGTTTCTCTAATGACGTTCGCCTGACTCAGTCTCGACTGCTTGTGACGTCGTGACGAGCAATTCACGCGAACTTGGCGAGGTCACGGAGGCCGGCAGTTGGCACATTCTTGTTGGCCAGCCCATTCTTTCTACATATGTTGTGCAATGCATTCTTGTCGAAAGGAATCAAGTGAAATGACCCCCTGCCAATTTCCTTTGGTAAATTTCTGGTAATGCCCGGTAATTTCTCGAACTTTGCAGGGTGAACGGAAGTGCCCCACCTCTTGAACGAATGTGCCCCATAGGTGGGGCAGTTTCGTGCAAATGTTCAGAGTTATTAAAAGTCATTTTTTCTAATGGAAGCAATAATTTTAGAGGATAACTTTTAAAGAGGAAAACTATCTGCAATAGTTCCTTTCCATACTACAATCAACAATTTTGCCATTGCACTAACCAAAGAACAGATATATGGGTTTATCCATTTTTTGCACGAATGTGCCCCACTCTCCCCTACAGCGAGAGCGAGGTTACTTTATGTGACCACTTTTTCCTAACCGTTACTGACCCGAACATAATGCATATGCATATTTTGGCATGTGCGAGAAGATCGGTGATAAAACATGCGTTGAGATCTTCGTGAAAATCTTAGCGGCGCGTTAAAATAGGTACTTATCACACCAGTATAAAATCACAAGCTCTTCCCGGATGATCAACAGGACTTTTGAAAAACTTTGCGGGCGGATGACGATGTGATCCATCTTCTGCTGGGATGCTCAGAATAATTACAATTTACGGCGCTGTTGTTCTGTTGCTCACATCCTCCATCCATTTTTGTGGGCATCCGCCTTCTCTGGCCCTCTGCGAGCCGCGAGATTATCTGTCTGTCTACATATAGGTGGTGTGATTGCCCGAGATACCTAATGGGACGATCAAACGCAGCTGCCATCTCAAGGGAAACTAATCAAAGACAAAGTAGCAATAAACGCTTGGCCCAGCTACTTGTCAGCGTCACCAGGGCAGTCTTCTTCTACTTAGAGGTTCCTATACTACACGCTCAATGATTCATCAACGAGCTATAGGTACGGGTGGCAAAAGACGGACATATTTATATGGGGAGCCTGTAGGTATACATAGGAGCCCATATCTTTTATGTATTTTCATAAAAAAACGCGTAGAAACATTGTCATCAGGTCTGTCTGTCTATACAGATGATGGCAATGTTGTCGGAATACTTATCGTCGGCAATGTTTACAGACCTGATGATGGCAACGCTGTCGAAAGCTCATCTACTTTGCAGTTTAGGTTTTACTTTTATTGGTACGACAAAAGAATCCATGCAATTTTTGGACATATTATTGCTTTTTCATATTAATCTTCAATAGTTTATAGCCAAAGTTCGAAGACCATTTTCGGTAGATTAAACTTGGATTGTCGTTAATACGTTTATGATCCACAGAAAACCATTTTACCTGAGTGTGCGGTCAGATGATATCTTTTGGAACATATGTATGTGCTTCTTAAACGTTCCCAATATGACTCCATTCCCACATATTTGTTTCCGTGATACTCAATGAAACAAGAATACAACATCTTTATGTCGATTGCGAGATTTGAAAAAGATGGATCTGCGAATAGAGCAAGCAACCTTGCCATTAACGTAATAAACTTTCTAGGAAATACTGAAATAGACACAAGCGCCAGAACTTTAAAGCTTTGTGTTCTGAAGAAGACACTCAGAAGGTATACTCGCAGCCCCCTCACTTCTGCTCTGCTGTGGCCGGTCGGATTTCCGAGAGGCCCAGTATACACCACCCGTTGTCTCCATGTCATGTCTGTAACGGGCTGCACCACGGCTATGGCGGCGCCGGTGGGGCACTGGAGCGCAGCAGCCCCTCTGCACTCTGCAGCCGGTGTCTTGCAGAGCATCGCTTCGTCACGCTCTCCTGGCCAGCTCACCTTGGATATCCGGGAGACGGCAAAGGCTGCTGCGCTCGCTGCGGCTCGACGACGGAGGGTGACGCTCAGTACTAAAATACCAGCCCGTCTTGTTATGCGGTGACTTGTTCAGCACACCAACTTGTCGCATATGGCTGAGTTACTTATTCACAACTAGTAACAACCCATCTGTCAGCGAGTGCCGGTACCATTTAGCAGTCGTTTGCAATGCCAGCCCTTTCGACTGGCGAGGCCCGGTGACGCTCACCAGTCAGTAGTCACCACTATACCGAATCACCTGTGTCCTGTGTATAGTGTATACCGAATCAGTCCTGTGAGTGGATCGCTAACCGTCCTGCCCATCCCGTCCTGACTCTGTTCAGGTGTGGTTTGCAGTACTAGCTGAACTCGGACCCGGTGACTCGTGTTCAGCTCTACCGACACGTCCTACCCGTCAGAACCGTCGCCGCTGGTTGATGGCGTCAGGTGAGCCCGCCAGATGGTTATTGCGGCCACCTCATCTGTCGCTGCCGCCGAGTGTCGCCAGTCCACTCTGTTACCGGCGGCGATGATGGGAGCTGGGTGTACCACCGGACTTGGCGCCGCTCGCGGTCTTCCTGGCTGGTAGAGATCGCTCCTTAGATACTGTCCTATACAGTGAGGCCAGCCTCCCGGGCTCGGTGAAGATGAAAAGGCTTAGCTTACGTCCGTGTCGCTCTATGGGCCTTCAGCAATCACGCAGTAAATGAAAACGCGGAGGCTTGTCAAATGCACAGGGATCGTTTTTGGCCGGGCCAGACAGCAGCTATTTCGCTCCACACTGCTGTGTTCCATACCTCATGCAGCAGTTCGACCCACAACTCACAGTAGTGGTCCATACCCCACACTTCAGAGCGGTGTCCCACACCTCATAGTATTGTCCCACACCTCACAGTAATGTCCCACACACCACATGGGTCGGGTATCATCACTAACCAGAGCGGCTGCGGCGCTGCGGCCGAGCTGCGCCGCGTTTTTGTGACGCTGTTTTCGTGCACCATGGTCAGCGCGTGACGGTGTCAGTGTCACTCGCAGTCCGTGTCGGTGTCACTCGCGGCCCGTGTCACTTTCGGACACGGTACGTGTCAGGCGGTGTCCGTGACACCCGCAGTCCGTGTCAGACGGTGTCACTT